CACGATTAGAGGTGTGAGCCACTGCACTCAGCCTCTAAAGTGACTTTTGATTATTATACCTGTAACTGTCACCATTCAAGTATTGATAAACTGGGAAAATTCTAAAACTTGCAAATACATAAGAACATATGACATATGCCATCAGAGCAATGATGTCATCACATATCATATACCTTCTGGAAAACGCCACTGAACACTTGTTAAAGAATACAAGTGAAAGGTAAATAATGTCTTAGCATTATCATAAAAATGTTTTCTTTTCACATTTCCTCTGAAGGGGTGTCAGAGATCCTCAGGGTTCCCCAGAGGACACTTTGAAAACACTGATAAAAGAGCATTGTTTGCTTTACAAAGAAACTGACATGGAAGTTTTAGCAGAAAGAAACATTCAGTTGGGTGATTTATTCTTCCATCCCAAAGATAGTTTTCAAAATAAGTAGGATTATTGTCACAATACTCTATTTAAATTCTTGAATAATATGGACCAAATTTTCACTTATTTTAATACCTATTTGTAATCACTTTTATGAAGATACTTGTTAAAATTGAAACTAAGTTCCTGTTTTAGGTGTCAATAAGACATAAGGAAGACATGATTTATCAAGGTCTATAGAACCTATTATGAGCAAATATAGAAACTCTCCCCTTTTATTCACCCCCAAAAATAAATAAAGAAGTTCAATTAATTTCAAGTGGGACAGCTACTTTTCTCTTTTTATATTTTGTGCTTATGAATCGATAAGCACATTTCACAATTCTAAGAAAAAAGTTACACCTGGTTTCTTATGCAGCAGTAGAGTTAATTTTATTGGGCCATGCTGACACTCAGATCAGAGTAATGACATTAAAGATTTGGGGGAAAACCTGCATACCTTAGATGCATAAATGTTATTTACAGGCATGCTCACACTACATTCTTGCAATGTATTACAACGAATGAAAAAATCTGGATTTTTCTCTTCATTGATCAACAACTCTCTAACCCTCTTCCTACCCCTACTCGACAAAACACAGAAAGATAACCAACGAAAAATGTCAGGAGGACCTTACTAATACTTGCAAGTTTTACTTTTTATTTAATTATAAAAATGGTTATTCTATAAAGAAATGCATTTGCATGAAATAAGAAGACATAATAATAATCTAAGGGCAAATATATCCTTGTGGACAAACAAAAAATAAACTACAATACAGCCACATTCTTTAAGGTTCCTCCCAAAGTGAGCAAATGCATATTTTGAATATAATGCAAATCTAGGAAAGAGAAGGCAAAATAGCCATTTGCAAAACTTAAGGACAGATCATCCTTTTAAAATTCCAACTGCTCTAGCCATTCACACCATGCTAAATTAAGGCTGCACAGCATTTCTTAAAATCACTGTTTGATCCTAAATATGAAAATCGCAATCAGTTTTCCTTGCTGATTTCTGGGCCAAAACTCCCCACTTCTAACAGTAACTGTCACTTCTACTTGGCAGTCCTTTTTAAAGAGAGTTTCAACCAACACTTAAAGTGGTCCAAATCAAATCTGAAAAACAATTCAGTTTTGCATCATATTATTTGACTAACTTCAATCCTCATGATTTTATAGTCTTTTTAATCTACTATTTATGATTTCCTTGACTATAGCACACAAAGGAATCAATGGTAAATCAAATCCATAAAAAAATCTGCCTTTCCTAATTAGTAGAAACAATGCCAGCCTGTGTAACTGCAGCCAGTAAGTGCCATACTTGCTATTATTCCCTGTGGAAAACAGTGTTTAAATCTGCAAAATGTAAGAAGATCATGATTAAGAAAATCATTTCTGAAAGACTTTCCATTCATATTTTTGAGGAGCACTCTCAGTCTGAAGGATAATCACACCAAGAAACCTAAAATGAGACATCAAAAGCATTTACCCATCAGGCAAATCACATGCTGGCTTATCACTCTTCAGGCCGGGGATGCCTGATGCAGCCTAACATCTCTATCTAAAAAAACATTAATAGTTCATAGAAAACTTTGTGTTAATCATTCCTCCTACCCCGCTTTTGTAGAAATAGTCTAGTCAACCATATACAGAAATGGATCAGGTTACTGAATACTTAGTGATAAGGAAGAGCTATGGAATGGCATTCAAATACTCTGACACATTCACCTTCAGCTAAAGACAGCACAATACACTGACAGACACAGTTCTAATGACATCAGGACCTGTGGAATGTATGACTGCTAGGGAACACATGCTGCTAGGAAACAAAGAACAGATCTGATCAAATCTTGTAATGTAAGGACTGGGAATCATTGTGATTAGATCTTCTAAAATGGGAGGACAAGTATTCTTTAATCCTCAGAAATATTTGCAAGTATAAAGACTTTAATAAGTATCATCTAGAAATGAAACAAATACATGAAGCTAGATTCTCATGAATTAAATCAAAATTTTCTAAGTTTTCTGTTAGGTAATGGCCACTGAATTAAATCAAAATTTTCTAAGTTTTCTGTTAGGCGATGGCCATTAGCAATATCTCTCATGAAAATATAACTTAAAGTCAAGCATCAGTGATTCGGTGTCTTTTGCAATCTATGCTTTTTCAAGAGGTCAAGGTCTTCAAAAAATAATGAAGACATCCAGAAATTATTGTACCTAAAAACAAAGTCCCCTGTTATATTAAGAGCCCTATACTTTTTAAAACAAAATGGAACACAAGTATTTGCAACAAACACCAAAGCAGTCAGAGCTAATCTAGACCTAAGGAATTTAATACATTTTAATTATTGAAAGTAAAAAGTAAAAAGCAGTTTCACTTGCAAAAGTAACAGTTTGTAAACTGTGTTTATCTTTTTGCATTCTTTACCCTTGCTTTGGTTACAAAAAAAAAAAAAAAAAGATTGGGTGAAACAAAGCTGAGAGATAATTCAACAACAAATATCCTCTTAACTCCTATACAAATAATCTGGTATCCTATTTTGGTGATTATAAAAGAGCTGAGAATTCTATCCTATTTGTAATCCACATACAGATAAATTGGGCGCCAGAAATCCAGATCATTTAGGACCATTACAGATGGAAAAATATACAAAAGAAATCTTACCAAACTCTGTTTATTCTCGTAGGGAAATATAGGAGAGTCTCCAAATGAAAAAAAAAAAGTGCTAAAGAAGTATTTCTTTGCAGATTCTACGATGACATTCTTTAACTAGTGATGATAGCCCATATGACACTAAAATTAGCAGACCGCCTATTTACTTCAGAGCAAAACACAGAAGGCAATTTTTCCTTCCTGCCAGAGTCTATGTGTCTCCTCATTTCCCCAGCAGCTGGCTGGAAGGATGTAAAATCAGAGGTGCAAGAAGCCTTATACTTCCTAATGAGTAATACAGCCAGGAAAGTAAACACAACAGACGACAGCAGGTTCGACTCTAAAGGAGACTGTGGCAGGAGTGCTTACACCGTTGTTTACAATGTGCTCTAACTACCGCAGGCAGGGATCACACGCAGACACAGGGAGGAGACACCCTGGAGGTGGCTCGCAAGGCTCGAGTTCGCCCAACTGCTATGATATCTCTGGCCATAAATAAAAGCAGCGCATGTTTCTATCAGAGCGAGGAAAGTGGCCAGAGAATTCCAGGGACCAGGAGTTATGCTGGCTGGACTCGATTACTTCAATCTGCTGGAGAGATGACTACCCTATGAGGTTCTCATCAGGGCCAATCTGGGATGCATGGAGCGCTGCACTAGCGACTCTCACGCGCCGCACGCATCTCGCCGAGCTGCGCCTCTCCAGGGGAAGGGGACATGGCAAGGCTTCCTCGCCACCCTGCGGGGGCCCCCGTGGCCTCCTCAAACCAGATTTTCCAGTTAAGCGGATCCCAGGCGATTTCAATAAGCAAGCTCAGCTCCAGTAGCATCAGCTCCAGCATCCCCGCAAATATCTATCTGCCGTCCCTGGGGCGCAAAAATGCGCACACACTCAAACGCCGACTCCGCCGCCAAGTAACCCTGGTAGAGGAGGTCGCCCCCACCCCTACACACCACACACACACACACACACACACACACACACACCCCTACAGTGCTGGGGGCCTGGCACCCTAAGCTTCTGAGCTCAGACGCTCCGCTGCAGCCTGGAGCCTTCCCTTCTCCCGAGAGAAGCGCCGAGGTGCCTTTTCTCCTACCTGTAACCCGCCAACCGCGACCACCAATGCTCTGCCCACCCCGCCCCGGCGCCGCGGCCGCCCGGATTCGTGCAACACCGCCGCCCCCCGCCCAGTGCCCACTACCAGCATAGCGCAGCCCGGGCCACCCACGAAAGTGGAAGCTTTCTCCAGTCAAAACCGCCTAACAAAGCCTGGGCACGCAGGTCTAAACCAAACTGCCGTGAAGGGGACACAACAGGCAGGGCGCGGGGAGGCAGCGCGACTCCACGACTCAGGGGCGCGACCTGGGCAAAAGGGGCCACCACGGATGCTCCAGGCAAGCGTCGAGGGAGAATAGTGCCGGGCTCGGCACCCTGCATTTTCCATCTTCCCAGAGCCCAGCTTCTCACCCAGACCCTGTCCGTCCTCCAGCCCGCTCCCGCCTCCAGCCGCACCAGTTCCAGCCAGGCGGAGAAAAGGCGCCCTCCTGTCCGCTTTCTGCTCCCACCAGGGGATGGCACTGGGGTGAGAGGGGAGGGAAAATTCACGGGGTGGGAACTGTTCCTATTCCCCAGCGTGTGCAGCTGCGAATGCGCCCAGTCTCTTATCCCCTTCACTCCCCTCGGCCGCCAAATCGCCGAATGGCTGGAAAAAACTCGAACCCGCGCCAGACCCGAGCGCCCACCAGCCAGGAGGTTCCTTTCCCGCCCCGCATCACGACCGGATGAGTGTGTGTGTGTGTGTGTGAGGGCGAGTGTGTGAGTGCAAGGGCGAGTGTGCATGCACCCCGCACCCCCTCTGTTGCCCGCCCGGTAGACGCCGAAGCCTGCGCCCGGCCAGAGCGACCCCTATTATGAAGAGTGCGAAGCATAAATTACCTTTCGTAACCGCCGGTCCCTGAGATCGTCCCATCAGTTGCTCAACAACCTGAAGGCGGGTGCAGTTTCCACAATCCAGCCATTGAGCTCGGGTCAAAAGACCGGCCGGCCCCTGTGCAGACACCCCCAACCACACGCGGCAAAGAACGAGAATCGAAGCGCAGAGAAAGCAGCAGGAGGGTGGAGACCCCAGTCAAGGAAACAACAACAAAAAGTCTCTCTTCCCTTTCTTCTGCTACACAGCCACGGAGAAAGGGGAAGGAAAAAGAGAGCCAAATGCTCGCCTTCCTTTACGTTCCTCGCTTCACACACCCCAAGGGGGCAAAAGCGGAGCGAAGAGAAAAGAGGGTTCAAATGTCTCTGCCAGTCCACAGTTGCACAACTTCGGAGTCAGGCTCTGTCTCCAGCAGCAGCCGAGGGACCCAGCGGCAGCTATTAACATGCGGCAGTCATAGCTGGGGTTGCTTCTCCTCTTGCTGCTGCTGCTGCTGCTGCCGCCGCCGCTTAAGAAAAGACGCTGCTGAAGAGACCAAAAATCTTCCACCATCCCCCCAGCCGATCTTTATATCCAGTTCTCCCACCCCACCCCCCTTCTCTTTCTTTTTCTTCTTCCACGTCCTCCCCTTTCCGCCTCGGAGCGGGAGCGATGGAATAGGTAGGGGGAGCCGCGAGGGCCAGGGGTGGCTTCTCCGCCAAACCGTCCTCCTCCTCGTCCTCCCGAGGTTCTCTCCCAGCCGAAGGTCCCCTCTCACGCCCGCAACCTCCGCGGACAGCCTGAGCGAGAACCACACAAACTCCTTCCCCGGTGCACGGAGGGGGCGCGCGGGCAGAGCGGGCGCCCGGC